CTGCAAAGGCACCCTGATACTTCGGAACGACTCATTCAAATTCCAGGTCGTTGTATCTGCCACCGGTTCAAAAAAAGGGACGCCGCCGTCCCCGCCTTTGCCACACTGCGTCTGCGACTTCCAGTGGCTTCTGAACCATGCCAAGACCAGCTGCACGCCACAATCTCTCCAAGCGTCATCCTCAGCCACCCTTCTCGGAAGACGCGGAAAATACTCCGACCCAGGCTGTGGCTTGGATCCTAGCCCACGCGTGTCACCTACGCAACGCATGGGGCCATGACGCATGCAATTGATGATTAATGTTGGTTGTCCTAGAAAGGGCATTCCAGCTCATGTTCTCTATCTGATCACGCATCGTCGCCTTTTCCTGGCTACAAAAATGTAAACGAAAAGCTAGGGCGGAGGCATCGCGAAGTGACCAGCAATGAATTGCAGAATGCATGCCTGAAAATTGTAGTCGCATCAGGACATACTAGAAAAATGTGGACAACTGAATTTGTCTGTGTGTAAAACTGCTTCTGCTTCCATCTAGGTGTGGCAGTGTGGCGCTGTGGATCTTGCATCTCACGGACTCCCAGGGCCTGCGAAAAAAAAAAGCTAGTACAACTTCTACTACGACGACGAGGCAGCCTACTACTACTGGTAATTAGTACTACTCCTGCTACGACTTGCCTCTTGACCATTTTGAGACCGCAAATTTCAGAAGGTTGAAGTCCTTCCAAAACCAAGTCTGAAACAGTCTGAAACGAGTCTGAAAGTGCACTATTTGAACGATCCCTTGTCTCGGGCGCACCGGTTTGATTTGATGCCTTAAGAAAAAGTCCATGTGCTGCTACTTGGCTTTCTTTCATTCCTTTACTCCTGGCTTCTTTGCCCCCCTTCCACACTAGCCTTTGTCCCTTGGCCGACAATACAAACGACAACATTGGTTTGAAGGGGAAGGATGCTGCATCGAAGGGGCATCATGGCAGTTGTGACCATCGTCACGGGGTAGTAGTGGTGTAATCAGCCTTGTGTCAGTGGTGTAATCAGTTTCAGTTGTGATCATCGTCAAGGCGGGTAGTAATTACACCCAATGCCTCAGTAGTAGGCGTCGTGGTAGTAGTATCCGTAGTATCAGTAGTAATAGTATCAGTAGTAGTAGTAGTAGTAGTAGTAGTAGTAGTAGTAGTAGTAGTAGTAGTCATAGTCAAAGTCAAAGTCAATCCAATTAAATTTGGAACAAAGGTACATGTAGCGGTTTCAGAGGTGTTGTACGGCCCTTTCAATGTGGAGCCCGTCCCCCTTGTTCTTTTTTGCTGCTTTAAAGATGAAAGCCTACAAGGAATTAGGATCCGAAAAAAAGTGCCCCTTTCAGAGCCGTTTCAGACTCTTTCAGGCTTTGCATGTGAAGGTTTGGGGGCATGCAAGGATTTTGTAAGAGTAATAGCCATTGTCGTTGAACGAGAGACAACAAGTAGTTGTGCTGCTATAGCGAGGGTAGTGGTGGTAGTAGCAGTAGTGGTAGTAATAGAAGAAGTCGTAGATCATGCCAATGCGAAGCAAAAATGGCCAAAAGTAATATGGTATCTTGGTAGCTTCATCATATGAACACCTCCGAAATCAAAGAGAATAAGTCATCACACAACATAATTACAACAAACAGCGCCACTCTGAAACACCCCCCTAATAAAAAGACTGCGTTCCCAAATTTTGTTTTTTTTTAATTAGGGGGGAGGGGGGGGCGTTTATTAATAGGGGGTAGGGATTATAGTATCTATAGTAACCGGCCCGTAAGTTGTTGGATATTTGTTTTTGGTGAGATCTGGGCCATGCTTTCCCGCACAGCACCGGTCACTGCCGGTGTGTGTCATGACTCCGGATCGCAAAGCATGACCACACATATCCACACATATCCAATATATTCCAATATAATAACAGAAATTTGAACTTTGGAGTGAAAAAAGTTAGAGAGGCGTAAGGCGAAGGGTCATGTTGAGTCAATCTGTGGGCCTCAACTACACCTGTCTTTATATTTTTTCCCTGTGCCTGCACTTTGGCAGAGTCGAGGATAGACTCTGAGACGGTCATCTTGAGATCATGCAGCTTCTCCCCATCAACAACAAGCTCCACGGTGCTAAGTCGCTGGGTTAGCTCATCGTCCGATGGATGAAAAACCTGGGGAAGGCGGCATCAACCGCACAGGTTGGTGGTTGAGCCGTCCCCCTGAATATGGTCGGTCAATGGGCCCCATCATATCCCATTGCTGGATGGAAAAAATATATCAACCAAACTTAACCAAACAGTCATAAACTTCTACTGATTTCAAAACTGCTGAGACTCAGAAAGAGTTTTTCATGGGACGGTGCTTGCCCTGAGCCGACCTTCACTTCCTCCTTCAACTCTTCGATGTTCATGTCTGGCCGCACTGCCAGGGTGTAAATCTTGCCACTGAGCAGTTCCACACTGATGTTCCTTGCCATTGCCATGGCGCAAACTTCGACGCCGTAACTGTCGTTTTGAACCACTAAGCACTGCGAAGAGATGACTCAATATCAATTTAAAACTGCCTTTGATGAGAGCCCCAGGAGAAAACCAAGTGGGGGGTTCCGTTTGTTCTTTAACGGCTTAATCATGCTTGATCTCCTGAAGCAAAGAAAAGGATGATGCGTTCGCAGTTTTCCAGTGGCTCCACACCCACAAAACTAGATGTCAAACATCACAGCACCAAAATGGGTCTATCTGGCAATGGCGGGTTGACTTCATAAAATGCTCATTGAGTAGGTACAATCAGGATGAACTTTGGATGATTTTGCTTTCAGGTGTCACACTCAAATGACAGTAGTTGACCAACCAAACCCAGTGAGGTATACCCTCAGAGCTGGGATGGGAGATCACAAGAAGAGTCACCATTGACGATATACAAGATTGTTATTTATGAGATTGTGCATACCCATATTTAAATTGTTTATTTTCATTGCCATCTTTCATAGTTGATAATTACTTCAGGATGGGTTGCGGCAGTGTTGATACCACATTATTGTGTGCGAATCAACAAGCAATGTAGGACCACAAAAGGGGTCCCACAAAGGGGCGGTTCTCATCTTGTGACATGGAGTTATGTTGGAGGCCGTAGTCAGCTATGTACTACCTTATCTGGCTGGTGGTTTCTAACCGGCTGGAAGATATGCTGAATTATGCTCATCATCAAGGATCACTAACGCAGTCAAGAGGGAAACAAAACAGCAAGTTGTGAAACCACCAACCAATGACAAAGATGATATCCTATTCCCATTCATTGTTGATAAATCCTCCGCAAAATCCCAGAAATCATCCTAAGGCAGGGGTATATCCAATAAACCATGAATCACACATCTATTGGGGATGCTTTGTGGTGTTGGGCTTTGCCTAACCAGAAGCATCCCCCAATTACCCTATAGGGTAAACATACGAAAAGATGTGGGAAAAAACATGGGGAAACCCCAGGAAAATCGTCTACAACTGGTTGATGTTCCACATCAAACTGTATGTTTACCCTAGAATATCCCCCCAAAAAAAAATCATCCTATTGATACTTCACATCAATTCCCATTCAAAACCTAAAATCGCCATCAACTCCCATGGAAAAACCCATGGTTCTTCGTTTACCCCAACGGGTCATCTCCAGCGTCGGCCTCGTTGATCCAGTTGTCCACCACTACGGTAGGAGCCACCACCAGCACGGGCCACTCCTTGAAACTCGGACTCTTCCGGAGACTGGGAATATCTTAAAACCAGTTGATATTGTGACATTTTAATACACATGAATGTACCAGTAGTACCGCACAAGGCGGTGGCGGAAGTTTCAAACATAGGAAACCCATAGGAGAGATTGGTTGTTGTGAATCCGGGATGGCAGAGCGAATCCACTGATGGACCGAAAGGTGCTTGAGGTCTCCTCTCTTTCTCTCTCTTTCTCTGACTATCTATCTATCTATCTATCTATCTATCTATCTGACTGTCTATCTATCTATCTATCTATCTATCTATCTGTCTACCTGTCTATCTGTGGTGCAGTGTCATTCAGTGTAATGTAGTGTATTGTAATGTAGTATAGTGGAGTGGAGTGTAGTGGAATGTAGTGTAGTGTTGTTCATGTTTAGCATTCAAGGATCCAACTACGAGCTAGCCAAGTTTTGCTCCGCATCAACCTGTTGTCCTAAGATCAGAGTGATGAAATGAGAACAAATTTGACATGTGCAAATAGAGATATCATTGTGTTTTATAAACAAGAATGAACGGATCACTAGCAACACCTAGAGTGTACTAACATGTAGTGAACAAAAACTAACAACTAACACGGATGGTAATATAGCCAGCATTCCCAGCAATCACAAGGCAGCCAATGAGGATGCATATATCCAAGAACATATATATATATATTATATATATTAAATATATTATATATATTATATATATTATATATTATATATATATATATTATATATTATATATATTATATATATATAATATATATATATTATATATTATATATATATTATATATTATATATATGTGTGTGTGTGTCAGTAACTCACAGATTGTAATTGCGCCAGCCAACGACAGGGATGGTAGCAAGGAGCAAGTTTAGCTGGTTTGTAGGCGGAAGGCAGACTTTGAAAAGGCTTAAATTGGGAACAAAGAACAAACTTATCGGAATGTCCATCAACAAGAATGGATATAATATATATATATACATATGTATACATGGACGCATATCTGCAAAAAAAAACACAGAGTTCAGTAAATATGTGTATGCATTGACATCTGTATATATATATATATATACATAGCATGTATCATACCATTGGGACGTCAATACTGAAACCCGGTATGCATCACAAAGATATCAGTGCTGGAACCCACATTCAGCGGGCAGGAATCCGAGGTCATATCATCATTACCATCCATCATTTGTTCAACACACACGGTCCCGAATCTCGGAGGTATACCTTTGGAATTTCCCACTGCGTTTGGGGGTGGGCCAGATCATCATTGAACATCCGGAGGAAAAGCATCGATCTTGGTTCAGATATGTTCATATCCCCATGTACCGAGTACGAGATCCTACATCGTTCTGGGTAAAATATAGTAATTCTCTAACCTGAAATAAGGCTATAGTGGGATAAATCCCCTCAGTAACCATAATTACAGTGAGGTCGCAGTGAGGTCGTTATAATTTGTACCCAGAATCGTTGAATAGAATCCTTATTTTGTTGCTTCAATTCCTGGTCAACTTGTAGTGGCACTTGGTTGGCTGAACGCGGGGTTTCATTAGATCATGAAAATCCTTATGAAACCAGGTTGCTTAACTAAGCTGCTTACCCCAGAGTCTAACGATGCACCATCACCCATATCATTTGGTGTTATATGAAAATATTTGAAAATATACACGCATTGTCATTGACATTAAGTCCATGTCTAAATCCCCATGAAAGAAAGACAGTCAATTTACACATGTTTTATTGCTTCAAATCATGTTTGAACATGTTCAATAATCTTCCCATGTTTATTGCTTGACCATGTTCCATAATTCCTTATCGAAGGAAGTTTAGAAGTCAAACTTCCGACAATATGGACAGATGAAAAGCAGAGCAGGGAAGAGGCAGAGAGAAGAGGAAGATTAGAAGAAAGAAGAGTAAAAGAGTAAGAAGAAAGAAGATGCAGATGCGCGAAAAGGTAGGAAAGTCGCGAAACACTGTGTTTTTTTCCAATGATTTGTGGCTCCGGAGGGTCGAAAAGTAGGCTCGCTAAAGCGGCGGGTGCGGAGCCAGCTGGCCAGATGAGTGATGAAAAATTGCACGCCGTTGTGGCGTGAAGCACATTTCGAAGTCAAAATGTACAAAACACCTCAGTGTCGGACCACTTTTGGAAGTTGCGATGTCGAAAAAGTGCACGCCATCGCGGCATTTTTTCCTGTAAATTTCCGTGTCAGGCGACTTTTGCCAAATGTTCGCTTGCATTTCGGCAGCGCGTGCTCGCATCAAATGTGTGTCCGCGTCCCGGGCGCAATCTGGGCCGCGGCGTTTTCCCTGTAAATGTCTCTACGGGCTTGCGCAAGATGTGTGCTCTGGGCGCAACCTGGCCCGCGCCGTTTTTCCCGTAAATTTCCGTATAAAGCGGCTCTTGTCAAATGTTGACGTGCATGTCGACCGCAGGCTCGCGCAAAGCGTGTGTCCGCGCTCTGGGCGGAACTTGGGCCGCGGCATTTTTTCCAGTAAACTTCAGCACCAGTAGTATCGCACAAGGCGGTGGCGGAAGTTTCAACAATATGAAACCCATAGGAGAGATTGGTTGTTGTGAGTCGCGGATGGCAAAGCGAATCCACTGATGGACCGACAGGTGGTTGGAGCTGTGTTCTTCGGGGTGGTTGCAATGGTCGCAGTGGTCACCTTACCACAGCTGCTGGATGATGTAGATAGTGTGGTGTAGCGCAATTCTAGTTAAAGTCGCTGTTGTAGCCGTAGCCGCAGTTGTAGTTGTAGTGTAGTGTATAGTAATGTAGTGGAGCTGTAGCTGTAATGCAGTGTAATTAGCACATGTGCAAGCGCAGTTGCAGTTGTCTTCGTGGCGCGGTGCAATTAGTGTAGTGTGGTACAGAGTAATGTCGTGTAACGTTGTGTAGTGTAGTGTGGTATAGGGTAGTGTAGTCTAGTGTAAAGTAGTGTAGCTGTAGCTGTAGTGTAGTGCCGTGTAATTAGTGTAACGTAGCGAAGTTGTAGTGTAATGTAGTATAATGTAGTATACTGTAGTATGCATGTAGTAGTGTAATCTACTTTAGTGTCGTGTAGTGTGGTGTAGCGTAGTGTCGTGCGGTGTCGTGTAGTGGAGTGTAATGTAGTGGTAGTTGTAGTTGCCGAGCCGCCTTGGCGCAGTGTTCCACCACATCCAGGCCGAACCGCGTGCCGGCGGTGGCCGCCCACCTCGCCTTCTCATTGCTGTCACGCAGCATGAGCCTGTTTAGCGGGAGGTTGTAGGAGAGGGTGATAACCCCCTTGGCGAGAACTGCGTCTGCGCCTGCGTCGCCGTCTCCCTGCGGTGGGTTCTACAATATATATATATATACATATAATTATATACATGTGTGTGTATATACATGTCATTTCTTCGACCCTGACTGCAAAATTATCTTGCAGCATTTGGCAAATCAAGACAACATAAAATATAAGGCCCGATACCCAGTGGGCAAAATCAAAAAACATGACACTCAGCGTTAGCAATGTTACAGCAATGTTGTCCCAAGAACTTCCAAGCCCCGAAAATGAACATAATTCTCTTTGTGCTTGTAGATATCTAAATGTATCCAAGTATCCCCCAATTCTGCCAGCACTGGTCTGTTCGGTGCAAAATGCAGCATATGCCAATTTCCGCTTTACTAAAACCAAATGCATTTTTTGTGGTTTTTGGTGCTTGGTTTGTAAGCGCTTCAGTAGGATCGAAAATGATCAAGATGAAATGCGCTGGACAAGAAGATGCCAAGGA